ATATATATATATATATACATATTATTTTTTTATTTTATTTTATTTTTTTAGACATTTTGTCCTTCATCCAAAGGACTTCATCAGTCTGAGGAGCCACAAAAATTTCATTCCCACAAGCAGCACACCCACATAGTGGACCAACCAGTTTTCTGGTGATAAGATAGTTCCTGGGACCTGCCCTCTCCCCCATTGTCTCCTCTGAGGCAGCCATGACCAAAGTGGTTCAAAACATCAAAGTTCATGCTCAGTAATCCAGGAAGAAAACCTAACAAAGTTCAGTCAATTCATCGGGATGGTTTAATTTATTATTATTATTATTTTTTATGTTTTGTCCTTGATACAAAGGACTTCATCAATCCGAGGAGCCTCAGCAAACTGCGTCCCACAAGCAGCAAACCCACATAGTGGACCAACCAGTTTGCTGGTGATAAGATGGTTCTTGGGGCCCGCTCTCTCCCCCATTGTCTCCTCTGAGGCAGCCATGACCAACATTGTTCAAAACATCAAAATTCATGCTCAATAATCCAGGTAGAAAACCTAACCAAGTTCAGTCAGCTCATCGGGATGGTTTCATTTTTTTTTTTTTTGCTGAGATGTTTCGTCCTTCATCCAAAGAACTTCATCAGTCCGAGGAGCCACATGGGAGGCTATGGCTACCTCAGAGGAGTCATCGGGGGAGAAGGTGGACCCCAGGAACCATTTTATCACCAGCAAACTGATTTGTCCACTATATGTGTTTGCTGCTTGTGGGACTGAGTTTGTTGTGGCTCCTCAGACTGACGAAGTCCTTTGGATGAACGACGGAATGCCTCAACAAAGAAAGAAACCAATCAGATGACTTGACTGAACTTTATTAAAAACATTAGGATTATTTATTTATTCTAATTGGTTATCATGCAGAACTTTTCTATTCAAGCAGAAACAAATTGCCATTTGTGTCACTGTGTCAAAATGTTTGGTGTGCTATTAAATAATCATTATTTTTTCTCTTAATATTATTTAATTATATTATAAAATACATGGGGAAATCAACCATAATAATGTACGTTCTTCTTACACTTTTTTTATTTATATTATTCCTAGTTGACTCAAAATGACCTGAGTCAACTTTGTTTTGTTTCTGGTAACAAATAATTGATTCATGTCAGGAGCCAGCATATGTAATATGAAGAGTTTCACCCATTTTTACCACCACTACATGATAAAACCTGCAAAGCTACAAGAAGCATGTCCATTAACCTTAATTTGAACAGCAGATGCACCATCATTTGGCATCGTTCGGGCCAAATCAGTGGAGACATGGACAGCAAAGTGGCCACTGGGTAGGAACAATAAATAATTCAATACCATAGTGTAAAAAGAAAGAAAAAAAAAAAAAACATTTTCATTAGACCAGAAAAACTGGCTCCTGCATGAAGTTTCGTGTTCATTTATGTTTGCTGGCACATCTGCTGAAACTGCTCTAAAAAAACTAAACAGTTATACTGGATGGTTGACAATTTTAGAAGGATGTCTTCCCAACATAAAACTTTTTGGAATGTAACATATCGAGCCTCAAATAACCAAAAAAAAAAAAAAGCTTCTTTGTTGGAACATCAATTCATTTTCACTAGAATATTTCTGAAAAGATCTTTTTTTTTCACAGCATGTAGTGGGTGATGAAAATAACACTTCATTTTACAATCTGTCACTAGATGCTACTGTAAAAATAAAATAAAATAAAACTAATTGGCCAACGTGATGTGTCTTGGCCACACAATCTAATAGAATTTGGTGAGACAGATTGTCTTCTGGTTCCACCTTCCTTGCAAGGTCACTGCATTGTCCTTGTAGACAGGTATATTCTCTCTCTCTCTCTCTATATATATATATATATATATATATATCCTTTTTAAAATAATTAGATTTAATTTATCACAGGGAAAAACATACCTCATGCATAACGAACTGCACTAATTTGTAGCAGTGTATGTCGCCTTCAGCTTGTGCTGACAACGGTGTGACATTATCAGCTCAGTTGCTGCCAGCCTACAAACACAAAACCTGGATGCAATAATGGAACTCTCTGGGGATTTCAAGCATGAGGTTCTCTGCGACAATTATAACTTCTTCTGCAGTTAGTCAACTGCTTTACCAGAGAAAGTAAAACGTTTGATTAATGAGATGCAAATGTACCTTTTCTTACAGCTTATCTGACCTTATTTCTTGAGGAAAAGCAAACCATAATTTGACACATAATTCCTTATCGTCATTTACACAGTCTTTGTTTGGTGGCAAACTGTGACCACAAGAATTGTAAAGAAATATGAATTGCTATAAAGAGAGAGCTTAAAGTCAACTCGAGATAAAGAAATTGGGTGCAATAAAGGACAAAATATGTGGAAAGAAATAAATTAAGCAGAGTTGTGGATGTTCATACAATCCATAGATTTAACTGAGATTGGCAATTAGGATGTCTGCAAGAAGGAATAAAACTGATGCCACAGTCTGGGAAATTACGTTTTATATGTTCCACGAAAATCTTGTCTAACTTCCAAAAGTTAAGGGTTAAGGTGAAAACTATGATTTATTTATTTTACTTTTGCACTGTACGCTAATGAAGCAACTGCTAACCATCAACCAAAGGCTTCTTCATCTTTGCTGCAATTTTTCAATTCATTTCAATTCATATCAGTTTATATAGTGCCGTCACAGCAGAAGTTATCTCAGGGCTCTGAACAGAAACATTCATATACATAAGAATTAAATAATGCAATCTATTCACTATTCTACAACTATTCTATTTAAAAAAAATAATTTTAGGAGATGTGGTCAGTTTGTCCTCCAGTAGTCTAAGCCTATGGCAACATAACGAGCCAACACTAACTATAGGATTTATCAAAAAGGGAAGTCTTAAAACTGGACAAAGTGTCAGCCTTGCAGACAGAAACTGGAAGTTGGTTCCTCAAAAGTGGAGCCTGATAACTGAAAGATCTTCCTCCCATTCTGCTTTTAGAAACTCTAGGAACTGCAAGTAAACCTGCAGTCTGAGAGCGAAGTGCTCTGTTAGGAAAATATGGAACAACAAGAGCTGTAATATAAAATGGAGCTAGGTTGTTGAGAACTTTATAGGTTAGAAGTAAGATTTTGAATTCTATTCTGAATTTGACAGGGAAAAATAACCCAATAAAAATTTAACGAAAAAAATAGGGACACTAAAGAAAAAAAATCTGTTTTTCAGAAGTTTTGTTCTTTGTCAAAACTGAACAATCTCTATTGGTGAAAAAAAAACAACACAATATACCAGATTTTCTCTTTAGTGTACTTTTCTTTTTCTTTAATATTTTATTGGGTTATTTTTCTAGTTGTGTTTTTTTTATTATTATTATTATTATTATTATTATTATTATCATTATTATTATTATTATTATTATTATTATTATTGTCGTTGTCATTATTAATATTAACAACAACAACAACACAATACTACTACTACTACTAATAATAATAATAATAATAATAATAACAAAAATAATAATAATAACAAAAATAATAATCTTATGGTCCAGTTTGTTGGAATTAAAAATGTTATGGTTGTGAAAGAAGAAAAAAAAGTGTTGTTTATTTTAGTAATAGCAGCACATATATTGCATTAATAAACATGGTTTCTATAATTTATTTCATTTATTTTTGTACTTTGTACATCAGCCGGCTACATGCTAATTGTTTTAATGATTGCTAATACGATTTGCTTCCATGCATGTGCATAATAATCTTTCTGGATGTTTTCTATATGATTCTGTAATGTCCAGTTGGTTGCATGCCTGAATATAAATCATTTTCTGCATTATCATGAAAGAGACCAATACCTGTCAAAAACTTGTGTTGGGGGTTGGTTGGCTCAAACTAATTAAACATGCTAGATTTGCATGAGAATAAACGGGACACATGTGTGGGAGGACAGTGAAGACAGGCTTGTGCTAATGACAAAAGAAATCACGTTTGACAAAACAATTAGGGAAAACCCCACGTTCATTCAATTATTGTCCATAAAATAAAAACTGTTATACAACAAACTAGTCCTTTTTGTTCTCTACCTACACTTGTTCTAGTCAACATCACCCCCAGATGTTGTCTTTGTTTGGCTTTCTCTCTGCTCATTTTTCCAGTTAATGATTTATTTAATCATATTGTATTTTTATTTACCACAAAACGTATAACCATTTTGATATATCCATCTAAATTGAACAATGGTGCCCCTTTTGCCTTTTTGAACTCGTACATGACTTGTTTTTTTCTAGTTGCCATGCTGTACTAAAGCAGACTATGTAGAGGTTGTCCTCAGCACATACATATTTAATGTATCATCTTCCTTTGGGTAATAGTGGGGTTGGATGCTCACCACATCTTTCAAAAATGATGCTTTCCTGCATTCACATCTAGGATGGTTAGGGATTACCACCATGCTCATTATAGAAGCCATTTAAAGAAAATCAAATATTATGATACTTACTTCCTGATCAAATGCACATATTTAAATGTTCCTATGTTGCATGAGGCGAGAAGAAAAATTCTATTAATAGGAAGAAAAATAAAAAAATAAAAAAAAATAAACAAAAGTGGGTCAAAGCAGGGGCAGAATAAACTACTTAACTTTATATATTTAGTAATTAAATTGCAGCTGAACAGCTCTTTTACTTGAAGTTCATGATTTTAATTTGACTTAATGAGCTGAGTCCCAGCTGATCATCTGCAAATGATAAAAGCGTCCTTTTATTCATATTTCTTTTCATCATTCCTGCAGCAAAGTCTATGATTGAACTTGTGAACTTACCACT